TTATTATTCCAAATCGTCTTTTTTAGACTTCGACGCATTTATTCTATTCATTTATAATGCAAACTCGAATAAACAAACGTTAATTCAAATGTTCAAGAGAAAAGAATTCACGGTAAGAAACAAATAATTCACCGTAACATTTCAATTCGGTTTTTTTGCCAAACCGAATTCAGCTTAAGTTACCACCAATTCTTTTCGCTTACTCCCAATTCTTTTTTTATTTACTGGGGCTATTGAAAAAAAACACGTATTATTATACGTATATTTATACGTATTATTATACGTATAATTATATGTATTATTATACGTATAATTTTACGTGTTTTATTTCAATAGGGTAATGGATTTAGATAAAATTTTGTAGGCTCATTTATCATATTAATATCTCAAATCTGACCAAAGGATTTTAAAAAATACCCAAAAAAAAAATTTTATCGTCTTTTTTACAAAAATTTTTTTTTAATCGAAAAAATTTTTAAATAGAAAAATTAAAGGTTACATTTTGGCAATAAAATTTTGCTTTCTCCACGAGGAAGCAAATTTTTTTGCTGATCGTAAAGAGGAAGCAAAATGTTCTTGTAATGAACATCTGAATTTACAATATTCCCATTTAAAATTAATATTTTTCACCTTTTTCAGAATAAAAATTAATTTCTTCCACAAATATTTTTGATTAAAAAATTAATCGTTTTTAGCAATATTTTTTATAAAATAATACATTTTTTTCATTAATAATTCCATTTAAAATTAATTTGTTTCAATTTTTTTTTGATAAAAAAATTAATTTTTTTCACCAATATATTTTTTTAAAAAATAAATTTGTATCACCAACATTTTTGATAAAAATAGTTATTTATGATACAAGTGCGCAAAGTGAATGATTATAAGAGTGTGACGTTTGTAGCACGAGGCGAAGCCGAGTGATGCAAATCACATAAGTATAATCAGATTTACGCACGTGTATCATACAACATTTTTTGCAACACCCACCTCTAAAGTTAAATACCTATTATGAGGAATTCCAACTCTCTATTAGAATAATTTCGATTGTATAGAATTGAATAAATCAATCGAAGATCAAGAAAAATATCATTAAGCAGGAGTGTATAAATGTAAAAGAAAAGTTCTTTTTTTAATTTTGTTTGGATGGTCTAAAACAATCCTTATATTATGTGAGAAAAATTTCGGTGAGTTAAGTAAATTTCAGTGCGTAAAGTGAATAACTTTACACACCAGTAGTATGGCTAGGAGAGTTCTAGGACAGGTTCTGATCTCGGCTAAGTTACCCCCAATCGGTAAGGTAGATTCCTACGTTATCAGCAGCTGGCCGAATTCAAACCCGGTTGGTAAGGTAGGAATCTGTTTTACCGACCGAGTTAGTTAACTAGCCACCCAATAGATGGCGCCACTAGCGAATTCAAATCTGCTTGGCGGGAAATTAAAAAATTTATTTGTGAATTCAAATTTGCTTGGCCGTTATTTTGTTTTACCGACCAAGTTAATTGATCGATACCCCAACAGATTGCGCCACTATCGATTAGCCTAACTAGGCTATATGAATTTAAAATTTTATTTGAGAATTTAAATTTGCTTGGCCGCCATTTTGTTTTACTGACGAAGTATAGTTTCTGTTGTCACCGAGAGATGGCACCACTAGCGAATTCAAATCTGCTTGGCGGGAAATTTAAAATTTATTAGATAATTTAAATTGGCTTGGCCGACATTTTGTTTTACCGACCGAATTAGTTGAGCGGACACCCAACAGATGGCGCCACTTAATATTATTTATAAGTTCACTGTGTTTTATTATTTTAATATATAGAACCACGTAATGTTAATTAAATCTGTTTTACTGACACATAAGCGCCATCTATAAATTATTAAACATAATTAATAAGTACAATATGTTTACCAACATATAAAATAGCGCCACCTATAAATGGTAAATTGAATATTTTTAATCAATCAAACAAATGACGCTGTAAGGTAAGTAAGTTTTATCAACTAATTATTAATTGTTTAAATATAAATTAGTTATGTTAATCCAATTAATATAATAGTTAATTCATAATTATCTATAACTAATTATTATTTCATCTACTTGTTTACTATAATTTGATATATCATATAATTATATTTTAGTTATTATATAAAATTATTTATTAAGGTAAATAATAATTATTATAACTTATTAAAATATTAATTTATTCTCAACTTTAAAAAAAGCATACTCAAATTGAAATTCGCGTTGCTTTTACTTGCGATATTCTCGAATCGTTATTTGTGCCAGCCCTGAGAGAATTTCAAATTTTTAGATTGGTCAATTCTTATAGAGAAAAATTAATTATTTTTTACACTGAAATTTATAAGAAAAATATATCCTTTTTAACATTTCGAATTAGAATTAATAATCAGTCTTATACCATTAATAAATTTAATATTTAATAAATATTTTGTTAAATTTATTTAAGAAATTCATGTTTGTTCTTCCCTGATTTCCATACAATTTTATGCGTGGCGGGAATTTTTAAGTTCCAAATTCTTAAACGTTTTAAATTTATTATTTCATATGTTTATAAAAGTAAAATTATAAGATTATAGTGAATTCAATCTTATCTTAATGTATTTGTTTTATAGTAAATAATAAACAGTGTTTTTAAATCAAAATTATGAAAATAGTGAAACATGTGGGATACATTTTAATTGTGCCGCTCCTGAGCCACCATGTTAACACTTAACACAACCTTTCACGCAAACGTTAAAAACATCGAAACTAGAAAGAACGTGTTCAACAATGGTAATTAATATTTGTTTATTAAAATCACCTTCTAATAAAACCATTAATAACAAATTAATAAAACACTTTTTACAGAATCCAAATATAATCGCACTTTGCAGGTGTGTGCAGATTAATTGTCGTTTCAGACAATTACAAAGGAGATACAGACGGCAGGTAATGTAAATATTGATTTTCTTTGATCCTTACTCTTTATACATCCAAGTCAAAATTTTGTCAAAAATCTTGTAAAAAATATTCTATTATTAGTATGTATTAAACTTTTTTTTTCTAACCTCTTTTATTGAAAAAATCAATTGAATTTTCACTATTTCTCTGTAATTAATTTTGTCAAAAATCTTGTTAAAAATATTCTATTATTAGTATGTATTAAACTTTTTTTTCTAACCTCTTTTATTGAAAAAAACAATTGAATTTTCACTATTTCTCTGTAACTTTTCTTGTCAAAAATCTTGTTAAAAATATTCTATTATTAGTATGTATTAAACTTTTTTTTCTAACCTCTTTCAGTAAAAATAGTTTATTTCTCTCTTTATAATCTATTTTATTAAAAATCTTGTCATAAATTAATCTTTTATTCAATTTTTTTTCAGATTAACTGTAACCCAAGACTTATTGATATGGGAGAAATGGAATACAATCCAGCTGTGCCAGGGATTTTTAACAGGAGGAGAAATCGGTGGGATCAACAACCAGAAGTCATTCCTCAGCAGGCAGTAGAGGAAAATATTCCAGTTGTTGCTGAGAATAATGGAGATCAAGCTCTATGGATTCGCATAAGAACACATCCACGAATCATAACATCAGTACGTATACCACCGGTCGAACAAGATATTCAACTGGAAGTGCAACCACCGGTCGAACAAGAAATTCAACCGGTAGTGCAGGCGCCGGTCGAACGAGAAATTCAAGCAGATGTGCAACCACCAATCGAACAAGATATTCAACTAGTGCCCGCACCTCTTGTTCGCCCAGTGCCTGCACCTCGTGTACGCCCAGTTCCAACACCACGTGTACGCCCAGTTCCAGCACCACCTGTTCGCCCAGTTCCTGCACCACGTGTTCGCCCAGTTCCTGCACCACGTGTTTACCCAGTTCCTGCACTACGTGTTCACCCAGTTCCTGCACCACGACGTGCCACAGAAATAGCCGCTCGTCATCTCAGACTAACAACTCGCCAACGATTATACAGGGCTATGAGAGACTTGGCTACAGCGTCCTCGAAGAACAGACGCTAGTTTCTCTTTTTTATTGCATGCCAATGTTAATTTTACTTTATTTTTTGTTTTTTTTTTTCATTTATATATATATTTTTCTATTCTTTTCTAATGTTCAATTTCAAACTTAAATTCTTTCAGTTTAATCTTTGATACTTTTATTTTAAATTTTTAATCATTCATGTCATGATCTCAGATTTTAATAGGTTTTTCAATTGTTTTTTCTCATTTAAATAAACCTTTTTTTTGTTTTCATTATTTTTTAATCATTTAATAATCTCATATTTTAATAGTTTTTTCAATTGTGTTTTTTCTATAAAAAATTGTTTTTGTTTTTATTTTTCTTTTGATCATTAAATAATCTTAGATTTTAATAGTTTTTTACGTTTTCATTTTTTCTCAAACTTTCATTGAGCTCAAGTTCTTTTTTTGTTTATTTATAAGGTCAAATCTCAAATTTTAGTAGGTTTTTTCAATAGTTTTTTCCTTAAAAAAAAAAATGTTTAGTTATGTTTTGTAAACTGTTTTATGATTTTTCCTATTTATATATTTTATGTTTCATTTTTTTTTGTAAGCATGTAAATGAAAACTGATATTAAAATATAAGTATTTTTTTAATTTAAATGTGTTTTTATTGGGTTTTTAACACATTTGTTAATTTAAACTCTTATTTAAATAAGGATAAGGTTAAAAAAGATGTTAATTTATGTAATATGAATTTATTTTTAATAATTTACTATTTGCAATACAATTTTTAATTAATTTAATTATTATTATTAAATTGATTTATTAAGTAAGTATATTTCATCTTTTATTTATCACTATTTTATTTTCATCTTTAATTATTTTTATAATTATGATAAAACTTTAAATTCAAAATTCGCGCGGTATTTGCAACGCTGTAATTTTACTCAGTCGCCACACGCTGTGGTGGGGTTAGTGCACATGGTGGGAAAGCGGTCCATAAGTGTTTGAGCTCCATGGTGTAGAGCTCATTTCCAACCGTCGCACTGTCTCGAGCGGTCTACGATGGAGCATTGGTGCAACTGCTACAACTGCACGATGAGGAGGGTGTCCATGCACAACGTAAGTATTAATGTTCAGGATATTAATTAAAAGGTGCTTATTAATTTCTTTAGTTGCAGAATCCCAACCTGGAGTTGCCACTCCCGGAGACGCCTCCAGGTACTCCACCGCGATACCCGTGGCACCGTCCAGAGTCGCCACCACCGTTTGTGGAGCTGGAGTCTCCGAGAACCCCACCAAGAGATCCTTGGTATCGTCCGGTGACACCAACTCCAGAGGGTCAAGCGCAACCACAGGCACCGACTCCAGAGGGCCAGGCGCGACCGGTTGCCGTCGTGAGGCCTTGGCAGCGCCCGCTGTGGGGTACGTCCTCCAAGGTCGCCAACCCCAGAGGCTAGGGTGGAGACACCAAGGTCCAGGGTGGAAGCTCCAGAGGCCAGGGTGGAGACTTCAAGGGCGCCGACTCCACCACCCGGCCCAGAGAGAAGGCAGCAACGAAGGCAGCGACGAAGGCGTCATCGCCGCCAAGCTGCCATTATTTTAAATATTAATATTAATTTTTAATTTTTAATAAAAGTACATTTTTTGATATATCCGTATACATTTTTTTACGCATGCGCGAATGGGTTAGGGTAAATGTAGGAGTGAGGGTAAAAGTCAGAGTGGGGATAAACGTTATACTGCACATGCGCGAAATTTCGGGCATATATTTTGGATCGCGAGCGTCATTCTCTCTTCTGTTCGCAGGTGTTCCAGCAGCAGCAGTCTCCCTTGCCATTTACTAACTGTCTTTTTTGATATTTATTGTATTTATTGTATTATTTGATATTTTTTTGATTTTTATTGTATTTTTTTGATATTTATTGTATTTATCTTTTATATTTCTTAGGTTAAGTGTGTTCTTTTCTAGGTTAAGTATTTTAATTTTAAGTTTGATAGCTTGTAAGTTTAATTTTAAGTGTAGAGATGAAGCGGAAGGCTAGATCCACCGATGGACCGCGAAAACATCCAAACTATAAGACCATCCTCGATGACTGTGACGTCACGATTCCACTTATCAAGGAAGCTCTGGAACTGGTGCCAATCCTCAGAGACGTCGACTAAAGACGATCATTTATTGAACGATGGATTGCAGAATGCTCGAGACATGAAAATCTGTTGTCGAGCATTTTGAAATCGATGTATTTTACACATCAAAAGCAGAGATGTGTGAGCATTCTGCAATCCATAATCAGATTTCGCGCTTTGTTTGAGTCACATGTTGTAGATGGCTCTGGAATCGGTGATCCAGACATTAATAAACGCGTTCGATGGGAAGAATGTGAGAGTGCTTTTGCGTGCAGATTGTACACTAATGCGATCCTGAATCTTGTACATATTGATATTAGCGCGTTTTTACACGATGCGTCCACACTTTTCCAGGATCACATTAGGGGTGCTCTAAACAAACATGGCGCTATCTTGGTGTATGGTGTTCTCATCACACATTTTAAAAGGGTTGAGAATGGTGAGGAGGTCGTTAAGCCTATACCTTTTGGTTCTAAGGCTAAAAGTATTTTCCCCACCACTCTCTTAGATGATTGGTTCAATGAGAACATCAAACAACCAATCTTGCGCAGCGTTGAAGAGTTTTACACAAAGGGTTCAAATTGGAACCTTCATTCGATTATAAGGTTAGAAGTCAATGTAAACAAGTACAATCCGATGCGCGCGAGCTCATACATTGACCTACCTCCACAGATTAAAAGAAAGCGAGCATGTATCAATGTGCAAAACAATCATGATAATGAGTGTTTCAAGTGAGCACTGCTCTCAGTCCTGCATCCTGAAGTATCAGACCCTAAACGTGTAGAAAATTTAAAAAATTTTAAAGATGAGTTAAATTTCGAAGGGATTGAATTCCCAATAGCGTTAAAAAATGTCCCGAAATTTGAAAAATTGAACGATGTTTCGATTAATGTCTTTGGTTTATCAAAATATTACGGGGACTTCTCAGTACATTCTCTTCACCTCACTGTGGAGAAAAGAGATAAACATGTAAATCTCCTATACGTTGCGGATATGTATGCGGATGAGAGTGTTGAAGAAAATGTAATATGCGATGGCGGTGATTTTTTGAATTTCCATTAAGTATGGATAAAAAATTTACCTGCGCTAGTATTCAAACAATTGTCAAATCATAAAGGTAAAAAGCATATCTGTGATAGATGTCTACACTATTTCTATTCTGTAGAAAAACTTAATGCACACATTGAAGATTGTAAGAAAGTGAATGAGTGTAAAATAACGCTACCGAAGCCGAAAGACAGTATTATCAAGTTCAAAAACTATAAAAATAGAGAGAAAGTACCGTATGTGATTTACGCCGACTGTGAAAGTTTACTTCTTCCAGCTGATGAAGATGTAAACAATTTGAGTAAGACTGAAGTATTTCAACGCCATAAGCTATTAAGCATAGGCTATTATTTGAATTGTAGCTACGACGAATCTCAATCTGTTTATGTACCATGTCCGAAGCATGAAGCTGATCCAGCTAAATGGTTTGCTGGGGAGTTAAAGCAGATTGCTGAAAAAATTGATGAAGTATTTAAAAATCCGATACCAATGACTGCATTAACTCCTCAAGAAATCAGCGGTTTTAAGCGAGCGACAATATGCCATATTTGTCATCAGAAAATAGCAGAAAGCGATAAAAAAGTCCGAGATCATTGTCATCTTACTGGCAAGTATAGGAGTGCTGCGCATGAGTCGTGCAATTTAAATTTTCAAGATTGTCAAACGATCCCTGTAGTGTTCCACAATTTAAATGGCTATGACGCCAATTTTATAATTCACGCGATTTCTACGAGCTTTGAAAGTAAAATTGATCTCCTCCCCATTAACAAAGAGAAGTATATCGCCTTCACAAAACATTTCAAGGGGAGTAAGGTCAAGTTTCGATTCATTGACTCTTTCAGATTCATGGCATCATCCCTAGAAAAACTCGCATCCTACTTGGACGAGTATAAAATTGTAAATGCCGTTTTTGCCAGTACGGTGACTGATCCAGATAAAATGAAGTTATTAACTCGAAAGGGTGTTTTCCCCTATGAGTACTTTGACTCAAAAAGTAAGCTAGATGAGACAGAATTGCCTCCGAAAGAGAAATTTTACAGTACTCTTTATGATGCCGGTATTTCTGATGAAGATTATGAGCATGCGCAGAAAGTTTGGTCCGAATTTGATTGTCAAAATTTCTACGACTATGTCCACTTGTACATGAAAACAGATTATTGTTACTTGCCGATGTCTTTGAAAACTTCCGCGAACAATGTGTTATTGCGTACAAGTTAGATCCTGCACACTATTATACGACTCCAGGTTTAACTTGGGATGCTATGCTCAAGTACACGAGTATAGGATTACAACTTATAACCGATATTGATATGATTATGTTTGTTGAGTTGGGTATCAGAGGTGGCATTAGTCAATGTTGCAACCGCTATGCAAATGCGAATAATCCATATATGGAGAATTTCGACAAAAACGAAGATACAAGCTATCTCATGTACTTCGATGCCAACAATTTGTATGGCTGGGCAATGGCTCAATCGCTCCCTTATGGCGGTTTCAAATGGGTTGAAAATGTTGAAGACTCTTTTAATTTTCATGTACCTGACGATTCCCCTGTTGGGTACATCCTAGAAGTTGATTTGGAGTATCCGAAAGACATTCATGATACTCATAAAGACATGCCATTCTGCGCTGAAAATAAGAAACCTCCATTGTCAAAACAGGAGAAATTGTTAACCACTCTCATGCCTAAAGAAAAATATGTTATTCATTATCGAACGCTAAAACAAGTTGTGGCAAACGATATTAAAATTGTGAAAATCCACCGTGTCTTACAGTTTAAGCAATCAACCTGGCTTAAACCGTACATCGACTATAACACAATGATGCGAACCAATGCTAAAAATGAGTTCGAAAAGAATTTGTTTAAGCTTATGAACAATGCAGTGTACGTCAAGACGATGGAAAATGTCCGCAAACATGTTGACATTAAACTCGTCACAAAATGGTTTGGCCGCTATGGAGCTGAAGCTCTAATCTCCCGCCCAAATTTCAAAAGTCGAGCGATTTTCGACGAAAATCTGGTTGCTATTGAATTGCGCAAAGTCGAGGTACTGCTCAACAAACCCATCTATGTAGGGTTAAGTGTGCTTGATATATCTAAGACGCTAATTTACGATTTCCATTATGGTCACATGTTGAAAAAATACGGCGATGCTTGTAAACTGCTGTATACCGATACAGACAGTCTTATCTGCGAAATCAAGTGTGAAGATATTTACAAAGACATAAAAAAAGATATTGACAAGTTTGATACATCTGATAATCCCGCGAATAACGTCTATGATATTCCGCAAGTCAACAAAAAAGTCCTCGGCCTCATGAAAGATGAGTGCAACGGCAGAATTGTAACTGAATTTGTTGGCTTGCGGAGTAAGATGTACAGTGTACGGGTCGAAGATAAAGATTTTATTAAAAAAGCTAAAGGTGTTAAAGCCGGCGTTGTTAAAAAGACAATTCAATTTGATGATTATGTAAAATGTCTGCGAGATTTTGACATTCAAACTCGAACACAATATAATATTCGATCGCAGCTTCAAAATCTTGAAACTGTGAAGCAGGTAAAAGTAGCTTTAAGTCCACAAGACGACAAGCGGTATTTGTTACCGGGGAGTACTGATACTCTACCGTGGGGTCACTATGCGATCCCAAATCTCGACGATTTGTAAATAGTTGATAAATTCGAGAAAAAAATGTCGGGAAATGTAAAGGCTGTGATAAAAGAAATAAATAGAACAATTGTATTTTAATTTCATGCGTTTTTTATTTAAAAATTCCTTACATATATACATTATAACATTAATTTAAAATTGATTTAACATTGATTTAACATTGATTCAACATTGATTCAACATTGATTCAACATTGATTCAACATTGATTTAACATTGATTCAACATTGATTCAACATTGATTCAACATTGATTCAACATTGATTCAACATTGATTTAACATTGATTTAACATTGATTCAACATTGATTCAACATTGATTCAACATTGATTCAACATTGATTTAACATTGATTCAACATTGATTCAACATTGATTCAACATTGATTCAACATTGATTCAACATTGATTCAACATTGATTTAACATTGATTTAACATTGATTCAACATTGATTCAACATTGATTCAACATTGATTTAACATTGATTCAACATTGATTCAACATTGATTTAACATTGATTCAACATTGATTCAACATTGATTCAACATTGATTCAACATTGATTTAACATTGATTCAACATTGATTCAACATTGATTTAACATTGATTCAACATTGATTCAACATTGATTTAACATTGATTTAACATTGATTCAACATTGATTCAACATTGATTCAACATTGATTCCACATTGATTTAACATTGATTTAACATTGATTTAACATTAACTATAAATTATACATTTGCTTTGTCTTCCCAAGTGTTGTGAGAGTTATCGAAACCAAGCCACTTGACAAGAACTTTGTTTCCACGTGTCCTGAGAATTTTCTCAACAAGATAAATGTCTGAATATTTCACTTTTAGAAGCTCCTCTTCATAGAATCCTCCACTGATGGGTTGATCTTGGTAATCCTTGAGTTTGTAAGTCACAGGTTGAGTTGATTCCACTTTATCAATTGTAAATATTTCAGTAGTCCAATTAGGAGTATAACCTTTTTCGAAAATATTTTTATATTTGCTAACTCGCACTTTGTCACCAATTTTAAATTTAGATCGTCTTAACGGAATTTTTCTGAGCTTCGAGATTCGATCTTTTGAAATATCAACATGTTGTGCAGTAACATCTTTAGGCTTCATTCCAATTGTTCTATGTTTTGTGTCATTATAAGTAGAAATGAGGTTAGGTAATATATCATACCACTTGTAATTTCCTCGTAAACTGAATTGCATCCACATTTTTCTTTTAAGTGTTCTATTAAATCTTTCAACAATAGATGCTTTCAAGTTACTGTATGTTGAATAAAAATTAATTTTGTACTATTTCATTAAAGCTTCAAATTGAGAATTGTAGAATTCTTTACCTTTATCGTAATGAAGGTTCTTTGGAATAGTCCTTTTTCAAATATGAATTTCATTGCGTTAGTCACATCTTTTCCATTTTTACTTTTTACTGGAACAGCCCAAGCATACTTGGATAAAATATATATGACTGTAAGTAAATAATTGTAACCTTTATTTATTTTTGAATAAGGTAGCATTTCCACTAAATCTGCTTGCCAGGTGTCATCAATATCACGCATTTCTACGCGACGGCGATGGAAATTTTTTCTAGCCTGTGTATGAAGTTTAGTAACTACTGTTAACTTTTTATCAGCCATCATTCTTTAATAAATTTAGCTGCATTAAATATAAATTTTGCTGTGATTCAATTTGTTTTAGTTTTTCGTTAACTCTGTCTTCAATAATTTCTTGCCACGCCGTTACACGAGTAATGAGCATACGCTCGTTTGGCCCCTTGTATCGAACCATATTTTTCTTTATAAGTGCAGGCATAACCTCGTTTGACAGCTACTTGCAGCTATTCAAAATGGCCGACTCCCTCATTGTGCGCGCGGACGATGAGCAAAATGTTTTGGCCACCGCTTAACGGTGAGCAAAATACTTTGCTCATCGTCCGCGCGTACAGTGAGAGATTCGACTATTTTGGATAGCTGAAAGTGGTTGCCAAACGAGGTTTTTGCATGCACGTATAAAGAAAACTAGTTTTTATTTCGTTTTTTACAATGTTTTGTGCAAGTCTTAAATTTACTGCATCATGCAGTTCTTCAGCGTCCTTAACGTTACAAAGTCTTTTATTATCTACATCAAAGTGTCCACTTGAATTAACTTTAAATCCAACTCCAGTAGGTCCACGTCTTGCTATTACTGTTCCTCCTTGACTGAGAGGATGTCCGAACAGATCAATGCTCATTATTGAAATGAATGACATTTACTAAAGCACACCTTAATATATGATTTTAGCCTCACGTAATTCCTCAATAATTGACATAATTTCATTATTATGACTAGTATTACCAGCTCCTTGAGATGCCATAAGTAATCGAAGACGATCAACCAATTCATTTGGATCATCCCAATAAATATAATCTGGTTTAAAACTTTTATTCGCAATCATAAATTTAGGTAGTGAACTACCACTTATAGATGACTCTTTTGTAGAAGGAAATAATTTTGATATAATATTCATGTATTTAAAACTTTTATCTCTATGAATAGAGTTAGAGGAACTATAGGTTTTTTTATGTGCATTGGAGGTGGTAAGAATTTGTTTATAACTATTCATATCATGTTCACTAATGTATGATTTTTCAGGTTTGTTTTTAAATAAAAGTTCTAATAACCCAGAGGTAATTTTAAAACGTTTATCTTCAATATCTACAATGTGATTTTTAAAGATTATGGTTTTATTACCAATCATAAGGAAACCATCATTAGCTTTGCGTACTCCATATATCATATCCAAACATTGTATTCTATTATGTTTTATCAAAAATATATATTTACTAACTAATTTATCAATGTCAGATCCGGGTTTTAGTGTTTCACCATCATCAGTACTCATATAATTTATATCATCATCACTATCATTTTTATCAGATGCAGCTTTATTTTCAATCTCTTCTTTCTTTTCAATATTAACATTTTCATGTTTATAATCTGTCAAGTTAATAATTTTTTGTAAAGGTTGAACTACTGGTTTAAAGGTTTCATTCAAAACATTTTCGACAGCTTCCTTCCCTAATTTTAACATTCGATGCTTCCGTCTAATTGCCTCACTAGCTTTAGCAATTTGACGTACTCTTTCTCTTTATGAAACATGTTGATATTTCAAGTTTTAAAACAACACTAATACTATTTTAAAAATTATCGTGTATTTATAGTGCTAGAAAACTGTCGAATCCTTTTCTATATCTTCTATCATTTAAATTAGAATCTTTATCAATTACTACAAAGCCATATTTGTCTGAATTCCAACATGTTGAACATAACTCTCGAAATTGATTAAATGTCATGTCAGTATTAACATGATCATCATACACATGTCTTAAATTTTTCTCATCTTGACGAAAAAGAACTAATAAATTGACATTATCACGTACTAAATGTTTAGGAATTCTAGCATATGTTTGACAGAGGTAAAAACAATTAACGTCAACATGTCTACCCATACAAAAGAATGCCCTTACATTGTCTTGCTTTTCACAAGCAATATCGTCAAATATAAATATTGAATTTTGTTTTGCATCTTTAGGAGCAATTACTTCTTCATGATCACTAAATGGTAAATATTCAACTCCATCAACGTTACTCACAACTTGTTCTAAGAACTTATATTTTGGTTGTTGTAATGATTTTGAGTATAAGTAAATGTTGTCAAATCCGAGACCATTAGGATCTAGAATTAGAGACAGTAATACATTTGTTTTTCCACAATTTGATGGGCCACAGAAAATTGCACGAATACTACCTGATAATAAACTACCATGACGCTTAACTTTCTTCTCTTGTTGTTCAACAATTGAGTCCAGATTTACGACTGGCAACTTATTAGGTTGTTCCTTGAATCGCATCCTGATGTAGATTGTTGTAAAAGGTATAAATACAGCGCTTATATAACCTTGCAGTCATTCTATTTTAAACTTTCATAGAGTAAGGTATGATTATTCATCATCGCTCTCGAGGGAAAGGTTTAGTCAATAGTCTTATAAATTAGTTACCATTTGAATTACATCTGCCTGGTTATCAATATTGTGGACCAGGCACAAAGTTACTAAAACGTCTACACAAAGGTGATCCGGGTATTAATCTTCTGGACGCCGCTTGTAAGGAGCACGATATCTCATATTCGAAAAATCGAGAAAACGTAGAAGCAAGAAACGTTGCTGATAGAGTTTTAGCTAAGAAGGCGTAGGAACGTGTTACAGCAAACGATTCCAGTATAGGTGAAAAAGCTGCTGCTTTAGCTATATCTGGTACTATGAAAGTTAAATCAAAATTGGGTATGGGAGTTAGGAGAAAGAGAAAGTCAAAATTAGGCTTGGGTGGAAGGAAGAAAAAAAAGATATCTTCTAAAAAACTAACTGCCCTCAGAAAAATTGTAGATGCAGCTAGAAAATCCATAATTCCTGGTAATGATGCTCAATCAACAATTAAAAGTGCTAATGAAACTGCTCGGAAAGCTGTTAGAAATGCAGGTGGTAAAAAGAGAATTTTAGTACCGCGCATCTTGCCTGTACCTTCGAAAATTGGTGGTTTACTACCATTAATTCCAATTTTTGCTGGATTAAGCGCCCTTGGAGCACTTACTGGAGGTGTAGCAGGTGTATCAAAAGCTTTAAATAGTGCAAGTGCAGCAAAAGATAAATTAAAAGAATCTCATCGCCATAATAAAGCAATGGAAGATATTGCACTTGGTAAAGGTCTACATTTGAAACCCTATCGACAAGGATTAGGTCTTCATTTAAAACCCTTTTCAAAAGGATCAGGACTTCATTTAAAACCTTATCAAAGAGGACAAGGAATAAAAAATTGTTCAAAAAAAATTTTTTTTTGATACTTCCTAAACGAGCACTAACTGACTTTGAGTTGCTCAAGTATGTTAAAGACTTGAAAATTTCTAACTTTAGAGGGGTTTTTATGCGAAATGAATTGCCCACAACAGGGCCTCGAAAAAATGAATCAGCTATTATTAATTTAGATGATAAAGATGGTTCTGGAACCCATTGGGTTGCATATATAAAAGTTAATAATAAAGCTGAATACTTTGACAGATTTGGTAATCTTCAACCACCATTTGACCTTGTTAGTTATTTAGGTTATAATACTCTAATACAATACAATCATAAAAATTATCAAGATTATGATACTTTTCATTGTGGTCATTTATGTCTTAAGTTTTTATGTGGATAACTTGAAATCACACAAAAATATATTCTATATAAATGATGGTATTTATATAACCTAATCAGTTTATAAAAAGTCATCATCATGGATGAATCGTTAACTTTAACTATCTCTGGCAATTCATCTATTCTGGAGGCTGAATATTTTCCACCAATAGAACTATTACCTAATAGAAATTATGTACTTGGCTTAGTTGAATTGTTAACTTTCAATTCAATTCCTAATATTGATGAGGGTAAAAATAAATTTTATATTGATAATCAAGTAATTACTATACCCCCTGGTAGTTATGAAATTGAAGATATTGAAAAATATATTCAAAATTCTATTGCAGATGGAGTTAAAAGTATAACTATAAAACCAAATAATAATACCTTACGTAGTGAAATAAAAAGTACTCACAAAGTAAGTTTTAAACCTAAAGATTCTATTGGTGAATTGTTGGGATTTACACCACGAGCGCTAATAGCTAATAAAACTTATACGTCTGACTTACCAGTAGCCATTCTCAAAATAAATGCTATTAGAATTGAATGTAATATTACTACTGGTGCATACATTAACAATAAAAAGGTACACACAATTCATGAATTTTTTCCAGTTGTTCCTGCAGGATATAAGATAGTGGAGGTACCATCACACGTCATTTACCTTCAGTTGCCGTGAAGACTATACATAATATTCAACTACGAATCATCGATCAAAACGGAGATTTAATAAATTTTCGAGGTGAAACTATAACCATTCGATTACACGTTAAATCAGTGTAATGGGTATTATATTTCATAGAAAAACTGGTGGAAACTATATAAACGAGTCACAATGTCAGAAATCATCCAGTCTTCATTCAGTTCGCAAGAGGCTAACACCTCAGAATTTACGTTTCCTGAAGCAGCTCAGTCTACGAGTTTATCAAGAAAATCAAAGAAAGAAAAACTAATAATTCACATATTTTTCTTTTTCTGTTGTTGTAATAAAAATGGAAGAGACTT